GAGCGGGAGGGGGCCACGTGCGGGGTGGGGGGTGGGGGGGGTGGGGACTCAGGACCAGCCCTCGGCCTAGGCCCCAACAGGAGGCTTGCCCCGCTCCCCGCCACCCCGCTGTAAGGGTTCAGTGTCTGTGCTGGGGGAGGCGGCTGCTGCCGCGTGGGGGCAGGGGGACTGCGGACCCACAGCCAGCATGCCCTGTACTCTTGGTCTTGGCAGGATGAGCTGTCCCACATCAATGCGCGGCTGAACACAGGCATCCTCGGATGTGAGTACGGGCCTGCCGCTGCCCCCTCTGCTGCCCCTGGGCGCCCCCGGGCCCTCACCAGCTCCTCCCGTCTCCGCAGCCTATGACCCACAACAGATCTTCAAGTGCAAAGGAACCTTTGTGGGCCACCAGGGCCCCGTCTGGTGTCTGTGTGTCTACTCCATGGGGGACCTGCTCTTCAGTGGCTCCTCTGACAAGACCATCAAGGTGAGTGGGGTCTTGCCCAGGGAGGTGGTCTACAGCCTGGTGGCGGGGGGCGCGGGGGCAATGGGCACTGCCTGCGCCCACCTTCCCTCCACATTCCCACCATGCTGCCTCCTGGCGTTGGGCTGACCCTCCTGGGACCCAGCCTGATGGTGGCCTCTGCAGGTGTGGGATACGTGTACCACCTACAAGTGCCAGAAGACGCTAGAAGGCCACGACGGCATTGTGCTGGCGCTCTGTATCCAGGGGTGAGTGCGGGCATGCATGGTACCCACGTGGAGCCGGGGACGGGAGACACCCTGCTCCCCCCACGGTCCACATGCGTCCTCAGCTGGCTGTGTCTACCTCTCCTGCGGGGCACCCTCATCCTTGAGCAGGGCTGGATGGCTGGGTGGTGGCACGCAGGCCCCCACGTTCACAGTGTGTGGCCCCGGAGCTGGGGCGCCTGGGGGAGGTAGGAACTCCGCCGTCGCTCGGCTGGCCTGTAGCCAGAGCCTCAGGCACAGCTTGGGGACAGGACCACAGAGTAGCCTGCCCAGCTCCCCCCTCGCCCGAGAAGGGTAGCCCCTCTCGACCTTCTCTCCTGTCTCGTGTCACGAGACTTCATGTTGTGGGCAGGAGAGGGAGAGACGTGCGTTCCCGGAAAGCAGCAGCTTGGCCGTCGGCAGCACTAACAGGGGTAGTTACCTCACAGCTTGCTGTCGGACGCTTGCCAGGCGGGCGGCGGGGTCAGGCTTCTACCCCCAAGGTTCCCTCGCCGGAACAGGAAGACGGAGGGCTGGGGGCAGCAGGAGGAACCCGGCCGAGCTGCCGGTTCCTGGTGGCTTCCCGGTGGCTGGTGCTCCCTTGGCCTGGCAAGGCCACACCAGCGAGGACAGTGGCTTCTCCTGCCCTGACCCCTTGGCTCCGCTCCCCCAGGTGCAAGCTCTACAGCGGCTCAGCGGACTGCACCATCATCGTGAGTGGGGCCGCGGCAGGTGGGTGGGAGGGGCCTGGGCCGCACCGGCTTCCGGGGGCCCCAGGCCCGCCGTGCCACCACGACCCGAGGCTTCCTGTCGTCCTTCCCGCCAGGTGTGGGACATCCAGAACCTGCAGAAGGTGAACACGATCCGGGCCCACGACAACCCCGTGTGCACGCTGGTCTCCTCACACAACATGCTCTTCAGCGGCTCCCTGAAGGCCATCAAGGTCAGGCCGGCCTCGCGTGTGCACATGTGGGGCGGCGGGCTACCGGACCCCTGCGCCCCAGCCTGCATTCGTGGCCGTCCCCACAGGTCTGGGATATCGTGGGCACTGAACTGAAGCTGAAGAAGGAGCTCACGGGCCTCAACCACTGGGTGCGGGCGCTGGTGGCTGCCCAGAGCTACCTGTACAGCGGCTCCTACCAGACAATCAAGGTGCGTCTGCACACACTTCGCGTGGGAAGACCCCTCACTAGGCTAGACCCCTGGGCTGGCACTGCCCAGGCCGGCCCCGGGGGCTCCGTCTGCCCTGCCCCCATGCCGCCGGGTTGGGGAGACCCTCACACACATCCTGGGTGACGAGCGGGCTGCTTAGCATCCAGAGGCCCTGAGGGCAAGGTGCCGGGCCTGGGACCGACGGGCTCGAGCTTGTCCGTAGATCTGGGACATCCGGACCCTCGACTGCATCCACGTCCTGCAGACATCTGGCGGCAGCGTCTACTCTATCGCTGTGACGAATCACCACATTGTCTGTGGCACCTATGAGAACCTCATCCACGTAAGGCGGGCACCTAGGGGCAGGGCCTGCCTCCGGGGCGCTGTCCTCCCCGGAGCCTGTGGCTCTGACCTGCCTGGGCCATTCCTTCAGGTGTGGGACATTGAGTCCAAGGAGCAGGTGCGGACCCTGACAGGCCACGTTGGCACTGTGTATGCCCTGGCGGTCATCTCAACGCCAGACCAGACCAAAGTCTTCAGCGCGTCCTATGACCGGTCTCTCAGGGTGCGTGCGGACCTAGTGATGGTGGGAGGTTCACGGTGGGCGGTTGGGCCCAGGTGGGCAGGCCCTCATGTCCCGTGTGCCCCCAGGTCTGGAGCATGGACAACATGATCTGCACGCAGACCCTGCTGCGTCACCAGGGCAGTGTGACCGCACTGGCCGTGTCCCGGGGCCGGCTCTTCTCGGGAGCTGTGGACAGCACTGTGAAGGTCAGTGCCTCGGCTCAGGCCTTCCAAAGGGGCTGCGTGTGTGGAGCAGGGGGCGGGGGGGCGAGGAGCTAGAAGCCTTGGGTCGGTGGCACCGAAGGGCAGGTGAGGATGGCAGGTGGTGGTGGGGCGGCGTGGCCGGAGGGGCAGCTGAAACAGAGCCCTTCCTCTGCAGGTTTGGACTTGCTAACAGAATCCAGACCAGTCTTGGCTTCCTCTGGGACCTCCCTAGGCTTGTCCCAACCAGGCTGGCCACATGAGGGGTCTCAAGGGGCGCTCACTGCCTGCCCTGCGGGGACAGACCGACAGGTTCACCTGGCCAGGCAGTGCCCTCCCCACCCTGTGCCCGGCGAGCCTCCCTCTGCTTGGTCCTGTGATCGTCGCCGCCAAGACAGTGCCCAGCCCCTCCCGCTGGGTGCCAGGTACGATGCTCGCCCGGCCCACCCTCCATCCCTGCCCCAGATGGACTGTGGGCCTTTTTACTCACCTTTTCTACTGTTTTTAGACTGTATATAGATTTGATTACTTCTTGATTGAAATAAAAGCTGCACAGACTGTGGCTGTGAGTGGGGATAGTCCTTGGGGTGACAGGCCACCCGGGAATGCTGTTGTGCTGGGGCACCAGCGGCCAGTGGGAGGGAGGCTGGGGAGGAGCCACAGAAGGGCTCCTGTCAGCTCCAGGATGTGGTGGACTTCTCACCCCTTGGTGACTTCTCTTCCCTGCCAGGAGCAAGCTAGACCCCCGTTCTCCCCAACACACGTCCCCAAGAAGTGAGCCAGGCAGCTCTGTTTTCTGCTGTTTATTGACAGCTGACAGTAGCTCCCTGCCCGGAACCCCCCTCCCCACTTGCTGGAGCCCCATCCTGGGCCGCCCATTGAAGGGAGGCCAGGCACACCCACCTGGGGAAGTATCAGGGCATGACAGCTGGAAAGGGCCCACACGCTCAGATGCCACCTTGGCTGACCCCTTCCACCCGCCTCTCGGCCTCAGAACCGCTGTTTTCGGCAAAGTGAATTTTTTTTTTTTTTTTTTTAAGAAACGTCAAAGTTGTGCCCAACACACGTGGATCAGCAAACACAATAGAGGAGGCCAGTCAGTACTTTTTGGAAAGGGGAGAGAGAGGAAAAGAGAGAGAGGGCAAGAACGACCACACGACACAGCCTTGGACCATGAGCAGAAGCGTCCATGGGAACTCAGAGGCAGTGGCTGTCTGTACGGGGCCAGCAAGGAGCCCTGAGGAGGGAGGGTCAGGCACACCCTGACACACGCCACACGCAGCCTGGCATGCACGCCCTGCACCCACCGAGGTCACCCAGCTGATCGCAGCCCACGCTTGCACGCACGGCTCCTCCGGAGCCCAGGCGCCACACCGAACCCTGGGAGAGCAGGGGAGTCTCCCTCCTCACCGCTCCACGGTGTGGAGGACACAGCCCAGCAGCGAGCAAGGCACATCCTTTGAGTTCTTCTGCACGCAGGAGAGTTAGGGAGAGCGAGGAGGCCCTAGCTGAGACGTGGACCTCCCGGGACCCCAGCCTCCTGTTTGTGCTACTGGGCCAGGTGTCCTAGACGGAGGGAGGGAAGGATGGACAGACAGACAGCCAGGGCCTCTAACAGCTTTTGTCTTGAGCTAGACTTCAGTGTCCCACAGTTGGTGGTTTTCTATAGAATCAATAATATTTTTTCTTTCTTTAAATATATATTTGTTAAAGTTATACCTTTTTGTTTCTCTGGGGAAATCTGCCTCAGCTCATTCCCAATAAATTAATACTCTCGATAGCTTATATTCTGGGGTACAGTGGGGCAGGGGCGGATCCAGCCCTCCTGTCCTTGTGCCAGCTGGAGCCGGGCTGGCAGAAGTCCCCAATGTTCTGTAGGCTAGCAGGCCTGGTGCTCTGCCACAGATCGGGAGGGGGGCCAGCGGCCGGCCCACCTCCACTGCCTCCCAGGGGCAGACCCGCCTGGCCTCAGGGCAGGGGGGCCAGGGGTTCCTCGCCCTCAGCAGAGCCCGCTGGTGGGCTGGTGTGGCCCAGCAGTTATTGCAATAGAGTAGCAGACGGATGGCACCCGCCGGGCAGCAGCCGAGTCTCGGGTCCCTGGGCCAGGCGAAGTTCCAGGCCGCCGTCCGGCCTGGGCCCAGGGGCAGGAGTTGTGTTTGTGCAGGGATAGCACGGTCTGCCTCGCCCGCTTGGTCTCGTCGGCCCTCCTGGCTGGCGCTTCAGAGGTGCCCAGCACCCTGAGGTAAAGGTCGCGCGGGTCAGTCTGGCGGCGCGGGCGGGCCCGACGAGCACAAGGCCACCCAGCATGCTGGCGTCCAGCTGGTCGGCCAGGTCGTCGAACATACCCGATGCCGTCCAGTGTGTTGCCGGTGCTCTTCTCCTCCGCGGACGAGGGCTGGGCGGGCGCGTGAGCTTGAGCAGGCGGGCGCGCGACGCCTGGCTCCCCTGCCCCTGTCCCTCACGACCCTGCCTCCACCCGAGCCGTGTAAGATTCGAGGCTCCGCAGCCCCTGCACGACCCGCCCTGCCTCCTGCTCCGCCCTACTTCCGGATCTCTGCCTCCCTTGCTGCCCTGGGTCTGTCTCTGCATCGACGCGACTTCTGCCTCTTGTTAAGTTCTGGTTCTGCTCTGCAGTTCTGCCTCCTGTTCTGCCTCTTTGATCTCGAGTTGAGCGCCGTGTTCGAGCAAGGCAAGGGACCCCGCCCTGCACCTACTGCGCCCTTGCGCGTCCTCCTGCTGATCTTCCTCTACGGCTTGCAGCGCGCGGGCCGCCAGGGCACGCGCTCGTCTCCTCCAGTTTCTGCTGGCGCTGTCTCCTGGCGAGGCGTCGGCGCGGCGCGGGGGGCCCGGCGGCGGCGGTGGCGGTGGCGGCGGCGGCGGCGGCGGCGGCGCGCGGTGGCTTGGCGGGCACGCAGCGCGGACGCGCTGGGGACGGGGCTTGGCGGGCTGGCGCTCAGCGAGGGCGGCGTGCTGGCCGTATTTGAAGGAGGGCGGCGTATGGCTGGCGAGTTGGCGAGGCGCGGCGACGGCTGGCGAATTGCCAGACTGCAGCCCCGCCGCGGCCTTTGCCGGTTTGGCGCCGTGGGCGGCGGCGGCGGCTTGGGAGACACGGGCGGCGGCGTGCCGTGGGCGCGCTTCACCTCTGCGGGAGGAGGAGATTCGCACAGGGGGGCGGGAGAGCCCTGCCTCGCCCCTCGAGAACTGCGCTGCGGACCCTGCTGCCCCTCGCTGGAGCCCCGGTTCCTGCAGCCGCCAGGGGCGCACTTATGCGTATCTGCTCGGGTCACTGGCTTCCAGACCTCTGTCCGCACACCTCCATCCCCTTCAGGTGTGGCCTGCTGCAGACACTGGCCCTTGGGTTGCTTGAATACCACGGGGCCTTCTGCATGTCTGATCCTTCTGCTTGGAAGCCCGCCCTCTCTAGTGCTGGGGTGACTTTCTGCTTGGTCACCAAGCCTCCCAGAGCCCTCCAGACCCAGCATCGCACCTGCTCCTCCAACAGGTGCTGCTATCCATGGGGTTTCTGCATCCACTGAGCAAGGTGACGAACATCCACCCTCCTCCCAATTTGGGGGGTCGGCAGTGCTGTCCAATGGGTGGTGGATGACAGGGTTCGGAGGTCTGAGCACAAGGGTCTTCACTTGTGCTTCCACCCCATTCCACCTGGCCTTCCTCAAGTTCAAGAGGAAAACCCTCAGACCATGGGAGTGGGAGGTGGGGGGGGCCAGCTGGCTCCCTTCACTCTACCTGGGCTGCCAGGACCTGGCAGCGCACCTTTCTTGAGGCAGTGTGGGTGAGCCCCTGGATCTTGGGAACAGGCTGAGCCAGCATGGGCTTGGGAGAGACAGGCGGCTTGGCTGGCTCCGAACTGCACGGGCGGGGGCAGCTGGGGAAGGTATCAGGTCGGTATGGGGACTTGCAGGTGGGGCGGCGGGGGCAGTCTGGGCCCAGCGTCTGCTCAGTGAGGTCGCTCTCGCGGCGCAGGTGCCCGCGCTATTCTGTACACAGACAGGTGGCTAGCGCGGGAGCTCAGACCTGCTTCCCCGCCTTGGCCTTGGGCCGGGCGCTGACTGCGGCCGACTGGCCAGATGAATGGACGCCTCCTGCTGACTTGCTTGCCTGGATGCGCTCTCTGAGCGTGGCACTGGCCTCCACTTCGGCTGGGCTGGCCCTCCCACTCGCTTCCCTTGGCTGACCTCGTGACCGGGCCAAGGCCGGCCCCATCCTCCACACAGTGGCCGCGGGTCTGCAGGCCCCCCTGACTTCTATAGGGCGCCCCCTGGCGGGCGGTGGCCAGGAGGTCCCGCGGATCGGGCCTGGGCTGAGGGTGCGGGCGCCTGTTCACCACTGCCAGGCCCAGGTTTCCTTTGTGCTTCACCGAGGCTACACCCCTGTAATAACCTGGTTCGGCTGGCGGGCGGGCGCAGGGTTCGGGGCTCCGCGGGTTGCTCACCCCACCCCCCACTGATGACAGCTTCAGCATGGTTGCGATGTTTCACGCTGCTACGCTGCTCGTGTCCACGCTTGCCAGCCAGGTCGCTGGTCTGCCGGGCGCTTGTGCCTCGATTCCCCAGCCGGGCCATCTCGTCCCAGCCTCCCTTCCGCCTCAGCATCTGGCGCCGAATTATCTGCCAGGTTGGCGCTGGCCATGGCTGAGCTGGAGCCGCTTTGGCGAAGGGCTGCCCCTTTCTGGGCCGCGACCGCCAAGGACTGGCTGCGGCTGACGTTTGTCGGTTCCGGCGCCAAGCATCGAGTGGTTACGGCCCACGCCGGGCCGTCTGGTGGCGATAACCGGCGGGCGGCTGGCACCAGCAGCTCGTCCTCGCCTGGTTCGCTGTCGGATGCCGATAGCTTATTCAGGCTGTGGGCACGTTTTGGGTCAGCTCTGGTTCGCCACCGGAGGCAGGCACAGTGTGGGGCACTGGCTGGGCGGTCAAGGCACAGCACGGGTCCGAGCGCCGCAGCGCCGCTTCCATCGGCTGGCAGCACGAGGCAAAGCCGCTGCGTGTGGGTGACTGAGGCAGCGAACGGGTGATGGTCGTTTGTTGGTGGCAGCAGCTGCGGGTGGGTTTCACCTGGCTGTGGCTGGGGCTGGACCATGAGGCCCCAGGGCTTGAGGGGAGCCCGGCTGGGCTGTGGCTGAGGTGTGAAGTGGCTGGCACCTGGCGAAGGACTGCCGCGGGTTTTGCCAGGCAATCGGAGGCACGCCAGTCTGCTGACGCTGTAGGCTGCGGGCGGCTGGCCGGTCTCCTGGGTGGTGCCAGGGGCTGGGTCTTCGTCCAGCAGGTACCAGACATGGGGCTGTCAACCAGGGGTTCGTCCCCCCCCAGCAGCCCTGAGAGCTGCTCATGTCACGCCTGTCCACTCCAGGCTGGCCTCTGCCGCGACGGAGGCCCTCGGGCCGGGGCAGGTGGTTGGAGGCTTCTCGGCAGTGGTGGCGGTAGGGCGGCGGCGGCGGCGGCGCCGGGCCAGTCATGGCAGCCTGCAGCTCAACCACTGGGCTGTCCTGAAGGTGGTCATCTTGGGAGACTGGCAGTCAGCCGGAGCAGGCTCGGGCGGGGGAGGTGACTCGAATGGCCATCACCTCGAGCGATCATGGGCTCGGGCAAAGAGGGTCCCCATCTCATTTATTCTGCCTCTGCAGTCTGCCTAGTTTCACTGCCAACATCAGCTTCTTCAGGCCTGGGTAGGCAGGTCAGGCCGGGAGTGGGCTAGGGACCAGAAGGCTGATGGGGCCGGCCTCACCCAGCTTGGTGATGCCGATCTCCTGTAGGTCTTCCCAGGTGATGTCGGTAATGAAGTCGATGTTCTCATAGCCGTTGTCCACCAGCACTTTGTAGTACTGGGCCAGGCCGATCATGGACAGCCACACAGCCAGGTCTGTGGGAGCAGGGGGAGTCAATGGGAGGGCAAGCCGAAGCTAGCTGTCCACACCCTGCTCACATCCAGCTGGGTAGCACCGGCCAGCCTGGCACAGACAGACAGAAGGACGGATAGACAGGCCAGAGGTGTCAGCCTCAGAGACAGCGCGACCTCAGTAGGAGCCCAAGGCCAGCAGCACACACGCATGTGCGAGCACACGCACACACACACAGGGGTGACCCTATCCTCGGGACACCGTTTGGGGGGGGGGGAGCAAGAACAAGCTTCCTCACCTGCCAAGGCAGCCGTGGGGACGGCACCCCGGGGGACACGCCTTGCACGTCATAGACACGGACACACAGCACCACCGACCGGACACGTGTACGCACACGGTGCATCCCAGCCATACGCGGGCACCAACACTCTCCACATCACGCGCACACCCTCTCGCCACTTCCACACCCTCACTGGGCACACGTCACGCACGCGTGGAACTACCCGTGATGCTCTTTACCCAGAAGCACGTGGTGGCTCCCTGAACCACGTCCACCTGTGCACACTCCCAGCTGGATGTCACTCGCCCACCAACACGCGGCACACTTGGTCACCCCTGGGTGCACAGAGCAAAGCAGGCCCGCGGGACGGGGACCTGCTCGTTGGGAGCACCCCCGAGCCGCCGACGGAGCACGCTGAGCATGAACCCGCCAGTCGCCGACCCACAGCCCTGGGGGCTCCGGGTGGCCACGGGATCTCTCCTCAAGCCCAGCCCGAGGCTCAGAGAAGCAGCGTAGATTCCACAGGCCTGGGGCCCGCCTTGCGCAGGCCCAGAACCTGTCACACCACGGGTTGACGGTTAGCCACGGCACGAACCGTGGTCTGTGTGGGCGTCCGCCATCCACACAGCCAGCGCGTGCGGTGCGATGTGTGGGTGTGTGCACGCAGTCGTCAGCGGGCGCCTTGGCTATATTTGGTGCACGCGTGCTGTCTGTACACACGAAGCAGGCAGACACCCTCCCCGCGCACGTGTCTGGGTGCACACGCATCCGTCAGCACGGGGGCCTCTAGTGTCTGGGTGGGTATGCGGTGGGCAGTGCTGCGGGGTGCCAGGCGGGTGCCCGGGTGGCTGCCCGGGTGTGGAGGGATCTCTGCGGGAGCGCATACTGGAAAGGGGCACCCTCCCGGCTTCAGGCTCCCCTTGCCCTGACGAACCCCAGAGGCTGTCACCCCTGCCCCCAGAAGGCTGGCTCCAGCACCCGTGACAGATAAACAGAGGCCATCCTCTTTTCTCTCTCTGGAGCCCCAGAGGGCGGGTGAGGGCTGTAGCCAGGGAGGCAGTCTGTCTGTCTGTCTGACCATCCTGGGCACAGCCGCTGGGGTGCAGGGAGCCTTACGGGTTTGTGCTCAGGCAGCCAGTCGGGAATGCTCAAGCCGCTGATCTCTGCGGTGATCTTCTTCCGGTGGCCTGGCTTGGTGACCCCGATGGCCGTGAGGTCCTAGGTAGAGGAGAGGCCCGTTAGCAGCAGGCTGGGGGCAGGGGGGCCATGTCGGTCGTGACTGGCAGCCAGCCTTTGGGCAGCCCACCTCCGGGGTCATGCGGCTGATGGTGGGCAGGTCGTAGCCAGCGCTGATGAAATTGGGGGCATAGAGTTGCAGCTGGAACGTGGCGAGCCACTGGCCGACGGCCTCGGCGCTCTGGAAGACACAAGGCACCCGCTGCAGGCTCGCTCGCCTGCCCGCCCACCGGGCGTGTGTGCACCCCGGCCGCTGCGCTGTCTCCTTCTCTGCTCAGCAGAAGGCCTCGGCCGCTCGGTCTGCCGTCCGCCGGTCCCCCTGTGGCCGGGCCTGGGGCGGCCTGACACCGGTGCCGCTCCTCACTGTGTGCTCCCCGACGCCGCCGTCGCGAGCTCCGTCAGCGTCCTGGCCTCCTCCCGTGGTCTCCACCAGAAGAGTCCAGCTGCTGTCCGTGTCATGGGCTTCCCTGACCATCCCCCCGTTCCTGCACCAGGGACACCCTGTGGTGCAGCCCCGTGTAAGGGGCTCGGGACCGGGGCCTCGGGTGGGGCGCCTCAGCACAGCCCCCACACTCCCTGGCGGGTGGGCTCCGTCCAGGGGCGTGGGGGAGGAAACAGCCAGCCGCTCGCACCTTCTCAGCACATGGGGCCCTGCTCACCCCCCCGCCACACACACACACACACACACACACACCTGGTCTCGCCTCACACCCACAGCCTTCTACACGCACACACACAAGCACACGTGCCCGGCTCACCATTGCCACCCACACGCAGGCACGTCCCCTGCTCACCTCACACCCACGTCTCACTGCCAGGACGCGCTAGCTGACACACATGACCCACGCGATAGATGACGGCTACACACACAGACTGACAGACGGACAGAAGTACGGGCCTGGCCTGTCAAGGGCCCCCCGCCACGCCGTGGCCAGACCACGCAGGCTGCCCGGGAGCCCCTCCCTGCTGCCAGCCCCGGCCCTGTACCTTGCCCTCCGAGGCTGGCTCCAGCTTCCTGGGTGGCTGCTCCCCATACACCTGCCCTGCGTGGGCCGCTGGGAGCTGGGACCGGGCTGCACCTGGAGACAAGAGGGCGTGGTGGGGCCGGGGCCGCCCGGGGGGCCACCTCCTCGCCAGGCCGGCAGTGCCGCGTCCTTGCTGTTACCTGTGGAGCCCTCTGGAGGCTTGGCGGGGCCGTCCCCAGGGCTGGACTCAGAGACCGACTTCTGCGACAGGACCGTCGCCAGGAGCTGCAACCCAGACGGGATGGCTGGCCAGCGCCGCTCTGCACCCAGGCGGCCCCGGCCCTGCCCCCAGACCACCTACCTTGACCCCTTCGGAGCCCGCATGCAGGGTGTGGCCCCCACTGCTTCGTCCACCAGCCACGCTGCCCAGGCTGCCGCTGCGGTCCCCACCTGCCAACACGAGGGAGCACCCTCCGTGGGTGCCGGCCCGGCTGCTGCCTGGGAAGCTCCGCTGCCCTGCTCACCGGGGGGCCCCCCCACGTACCTGCAAAAGGCTTCCTCAGCACCCAGATCTCCTCGGGGGGCGCAGAGGGCCCCGGTGAGCTGCCTGCCTGGGATGGGCTTGGTTCAGTACCTGCCCGAGAACCTGTGGACCAGGAACAGCCTCCTGGAATGTCAGACCAGCCGGGTCCGGGGGCCTGACATGGAGAGGGGGGTGTCCCTGGCCTGTCTGGCCCTAGCTGTCTCCAAGGAGCTGAGAGAACCTCAGAAGACCCCCTCCGCACCCTATACATTTGAGAGCAGGAGAACGGGGCAAGAGGGCCCAGGCCAGGCAGTCCTGCCAGTGGCCCTGTGGTCCTGGGTGGGGAGAGCAGAGGGTGTACCTCCTCTCTGCCAGGGGAGCAGGGAGGGGGAAGAGGGCCCCAAAAGCCTAGATGACACTGGGCAGGCTGGCCACGCCTCCTAACTGCCCCCCCACACACACACCGTACCGTCACCCCACCTGTCAATGTCCTCATCCTCTCTAGGAGGTAACCCTCTCGGTGGTCCCCGTCTGAAAACAATCCATGCCCTGTGGATTCGCCCCCCAACCCTCTCACTCACTGTGCACCAGCCATGCTATGCTGGCCTCCTTTGGGACCCTTATGCGCTGCTCTGCCTCAGTGCCTTTGCATATGTGAGCCCTGCTGTCAGGATGCTGTGCCTGGGGCCAGCCCCTCCCATTTCTCAGGGGCTTCTCTGAGCACCCTAAGAAGCAGGTCTCCGTCCACGTTCCCTATGGCATTAGTCGTCACGTCTGTTCGTGTATTTACGCCACTGGCCCCTGCTCCCCTCCCTTCCCAGAGGTGAGCTCCTCGAGAGCAAGAATGACGCCCATCATTCTTGGACATCTGGGTCACCGTCTATTCCTAGTGGCTGGTGCACAATGTCTATTAAATAAATGAAGGAAAAGGTGTGGGGGTGCTGATGAGAGCCGGCACGACCCCACTCTGGATCCCACACCTAGGAGTGGCCCTGCCACCCAACACACGTGCACCGGCTTCCTTCGGGCCCCCAAGCCCAGGCCTGGGTGGGACTTGCCTGCTCGCTTCACGATGGCCTCGCCCAGGGATGACGGGAAGTAGCCCACCCGGTCGTTGCCCGTCCGGTTGTCATGGATACAGCCCTTCCACCGGCCATCCGGATGCTGCTCTAGGACCTGCCAGATGAGGCGGGGGGTGGGGGGGGGCGTGCTCAGGAGGACACCCCACAGGCCCAGTGGGTGGGTGGCCCCCAGACCACCCAACTGCTGCACAAGTATGCCACAAACCGGGGTCCCACTTTGCAGCCCCGGCCTTACTGTGATGATGTCCCCAGCTTTCACGTTGAGGCTGGTCAGGTCATAATTGTTGCAGTAATCCTTGGTCGCCCGGACCTGCAGGGCCGCCGAGGCCTCTGGGGACACAGGAGACAGACCCCCCCCCCACAGTCCTTCGAGCTGGCCTGACCCAGCCCTGCCCTCCCCATTATCCCCAGCCCCCCCCCCCCCCAACCCCGCCCTGGTCCCACCTCGAAGCAGTTGTTTGATCTCCTTGCTGGCTTGGGATGTGGTGAACTGGTGCACAATGTCCAGGGCCGTCTGGCTGTAGGTGTTCCTCACGTGGGCATTAATCCCATTCTGTATGTGCCAGAGGGTGAGGCCCGTCAGGAGCCCCCATGCCCCCACCTGCCCCAGCTCCCCCGCCCTGACTCACATCCAGCAGCAGCCGGACCACTTCTGTCTTCCCGCAGAGTGCGGCCTCATGCAGGGCCGTGCCAGACTTGGTCTGGCGGTTTATGTCGATGCCGGCTTGGAGGAGGAGTCTAGAAGGAGGGTGGGCGGGTGGGAGTGGGCAGCGCCTCGTGGCAGGAGCTCCGTCCCATCCCCCCATGGGGCCCCAGGTCCCAGGCCCTGAGGGTGAGCCAGCCCTGCCCTGCCTCCCGGGCAACAGGGGGTCTGACAGTGACCAAGCACTGGTGCAAGTGCTGGCCTCGTGCTAACCCGTACAGCGGGGTCTCGGAGAAGTCAAGTGTCTCCACGAGGTCGCCCAGCAAGTGTCAGGGCCACAACCTGGGCTTGGGGCTGAAGAAGCCACCCCCCAGACCCCTCCGGTGCATCCTTTACGTGGGCGGCCGGAGGCATCCTTTGCACGCGGAGGCCTGATGGCATCCCCTCGGCTCCCTGGCTGCTCCTGTCACTAAACCGGGAGCAGGAAGCCCACGGCCGGGTCTCCCTCCCCCCAGCCGCACTCGGCCATACCTGATGATGTCAATGTGGCCGTTCTTGGCTGCCAGATGCAGGGGGCTGGTGCCGTTGGGGTCGGTCGTATCCCCCGGCCGGGGCTCCAGCAAGGCCGCGCACATGTTACTATTTAGAAGCAGCTGGACCACCTTAAGGAGGGGTCAGAGAAGGGGGGCCCGCACATGGGGCGGGAAGCTGCAGGCGTGTCTCCCCTCCCCCACCCCAGGAGGGAAGACAGAGCAGATGGAGTCCCACCCGGCTCTCTGGGGACACTTACCCCAACGCGGCCGAACTCACAAGCCAGGTCCAGGGGCGTCTTCCCCGAGTTGTCCACCATGCATGGATTGGACTGGTGCTGTAGCAGCATTTCGGACTGTGGGGCCGCAGGGCGCAGTCAGACTCGAGGGCGGCCGCTGGGCTGGCACCGCCCGTGCCAGGGCCCTCCCCACCCCCACCCTGAGGCGTCCCTTACCACATCATAGTGACCGTGCTGGGCTGCCAGGTGCAGAGGGATGTGGCCCTCGTCAGATGGGATGTTCACCGCCGAGCCCGCCTTCAGCACCAGCTTCATGGGCTCCTTCCGGCCCTGCCAGGCCGCATAGTGCAGCGGCCGCATGCCTAGGAGTGGGCAGGGGGCCCGTTGGGAGCTAGCCCTTGACCCTGGACCCAACCCAGGCCCGCAGGATACTGATCCCATGGAATCCTGCTTCCACCCAGATGGAGACTCCGGACTGACACCTCAATCATGGGACCATTCAGGTCTCTAGAGACACTACCCCTGACCTTGACCCCCTGATCTGGCTCCGAGGTCCCTATCAGGCCTTGCCTTTGTTGTCCTTGATGTCCACAGCAGCCTGGGCCTCCAGCAGCAGGGTGATCAATTCTGTGTTGCCGTTCAGGGCCGCGTGGTGCAGGGCCGAGAAGCTGCAGCGGGCGACAGGCATGAAAAGGCAAGGACCCGGGCACCCCGGCCTTCCGCAGGAGCCCCCCTGGAACCCCTTGCCAGCCGGGCATCTCCCTGGCTGAGAACTCACCCATCTGGGTCCTGGAAGTTGACATTGATCTTCTTGGTGGAGCCCAGGAGCTCTAGGGATGGGAAAGTGACAGTGAGGGGGGCTCTGCCCAGCCCCTCCAGGCAGCCTAAGAGCAGGCAGAGGGTGCTGGCTAGCTCTCTGGCAGGCTCAGAGCCAAAGCTATCTTTAGTCTTTAGCCAGAAAACATTTCATCTCTGTCCCCTGCACTCAGCTCCAGGTACCAGCTTTTGGACTGAACTAAGGTGTTGGTAAGTTCACAGAGCCAAAGGCTCCAAGCCTGTCCCCACCGGGGGAAGGAAGCCAGAGCTGTGCACCCACACAGGCACACACATGTGCACATGTACCCCCTCCCTTGGGACGCTGGCTAAGCACCTGCCGATGGCGGGAGGGAGAGAGCCGGCACAATCTGTTTCTCCAAAGGACCCAGATGGGGCCGGGGGTGGCCTGGGAAGGCTGGAACACCCGGAAATGGGGGTATCTCTGGGGGAAGATCTGCATTTTCAGGGTGCAGCCTCCCCCCATTCCCAGCCCTGGGCCTGCCCGTGTGGTTGAGTCCCACCTGGCAAGGGAGGAAGGGGAGGCAGGCTGGCGGCCTGGTGCCCCTGAGTGACGACACAAGCATGGCCACCACATCTACAAGGGCCCACTTGGGCACTGGGATCAGTCTGCCTGAAGCCCGAGGGGCCCAAGCCCTCCCTTTGGGTCCCTAGTCTCCTCCCGAACCGCCCCCCACCCCCACCCAGGTCCTTGCCTCCACCAGCTGACTGTCAGAGGAGGGGAGCCCACCGAAACCCTCCCTGTGGGCTCGGTTCCAGCCGGACTCAGGCCAAGCCCCTGCCTGTCTGGGCCATGGTTACATAACCCATTTGTGGGTCAGTCGCTCTGTGAGGGAGGGGCTGGCAGGACAGAAGCCCCTTTGTCCAGGCCCAGGACAGGGATGGAGGCAGGGGCCCCCAAGAGCAGGAACCCAAGGGAGTCGAGTCACAGAGGGGCTGCTCCAGGAGCTGCTTGGTGACCCACAGCAGCCCCCACTGCCCCAGCCTTGGCTCTCAGCCGCGGGATGCATGGTGTGAGGCCTCGAGGGCCCACAGAGCCTACGAAGTCAGTAGGGCTCAAATTCAGAGTCTCACTGGGCCCTTACTAGCCCTATAGCCCTGGCCTTGAGCTCAAAGGGGGCTAATGGGGCCAGCCTCATAGGCTTAAGTGTGCGTCCACCCTTAAAGCATGAAGGGTCTGGCAGAGAGTCGCCTCCATAAGTGGCAATTACTAGTTTTAGCTCTGTGGGAATCCCACCCCCAACCTCTCCAGCGAGGGGTTTCTCCTGCACAGAGTAGAGCAGAGCAGAGGCTCCTGGGAAAGAGGCGTCTCCGCTGCCCCACTCCCGCCCTGCTCACACACTTTGGGGCACTGATGTCCATCTAAGGTGGCAGCAAAGCCACCCTCCCCTCAGTGGTCCAGGCCAAAACCTTGGAGTCAGCCCTGAGCGCCCGATAGTGTCTCCATCAGCAAGTCCTGTTTGGCTCCACCTTCAAGACGACCTCCGAATACACTCGGGGTCCTATTATTCTCCCCACGGTCACTGTCACCACCCTGACCAGGCCAGCATCTCTCAAAGGATCGCTGCCATCACCTCTCCACTGGCATCCCCACTTGTACCCTGCCCCTCAGTCTGTCCTCTGTTCCACTGAGGTCAGGGGGACCGTGTTAGAACATGTCACATCCCATCGCTCCTCTCCTGAAACCCTCCAACAGCTCCTGTGTCACTGGGGGCGAAGACCAATGCTGGCCAATGGCTCACAGGACATGGCCCTCCTGCTTCGCTTTGACTTTCTCATCAGCCCTCTTCCAGCCACACAAGCCTCAGTGATGGTGCTACAGCACACTGGCGGCCCCTGCCACAGGGCCTTTGCACACACTGTGTATATGGTGGGGGGGGCTGCTTTCCCCCCATTTATCCCCATGACTCTCTCCCTTATGTCATTCAGGACTTTATCCAAATGTCACCTGCTTGGAGAAGCCCCACCGGGCTCCCCATCTAGAATGGCAACCCCCTTCCTGTCCCTATCTGTTGTGTTTCTCTCTCTGGCCCCTATCAATACCGCCTAATGATTGTTGTCTGTCTCCATCACTAAACAACACGATCCAGAAGGATGGGGTTTTTATCTATTGTGCTCAATGCCATATCCTGGGTGGCAGAAACAGTGCGGGGCCCATATGAGATGCTAGGTAAATTGGTGCCGGAACAGATACCCTGGATCCCCAACATTGCTGTCCCGTAGCACCTGCCCCCTGGGGGCCATGCTCAGGATGTTCTCTTCTAGAACACTCTGCCCAGCTCTGATGTTTGCTCCCCCTTCTCGTTAATTCCAAGGTAGCCAGGTCTCCCCACCCCTCTCACCTGGCCACACCTGCAGGCATTGAAATTTTAGAGGGGCTGGAGGTCAAGGCCCCAGAAGTAGCATAGACACCAGTGGGGAAGGGCAGTCCCCATCAGGAAGACCACTCCTTACACGAGGGGGGGAATCCCTCTGAGGTCCCGTCACCCTCTCCTCGCTGCAGGTCTCCTCAGAGGGGAAAGTAGCTGGAATTGGTGGAGGGGAGCCCGAGGTCTTGGAGCACCCCCGATTCCTGTGGTGGGCCCCGGGCTCACAGGGAAGTCACACAACCGAAGCCTGCCTGGGGTTGGGGAGGCGCAGTTCACAGAGACAGGTGCTCTGTGTGACGCTGGAGCAGGCACGGCTGGAGGGGCCTGAGAGGCAGGGGAGAAGGGGGCAGGTGGAGACCCAGAGGTCCCCCTTCTCTGGTCCACAAGGGCCCAAGTCCTGCAGCCTCCACGTGGCCGATGTACATAAACTTCGTCCCCAACCTGCCCCATGTCTTGGGCTCTCCCAGCTCTGGTCACCCAGTCCTCTCACCACTTTCCTGGGACCGTCCCTGCCCTTGAGGTGGGCCCCAGACTCCAAACTGCAGAGGCCCAGGCAGGGGGTGGGGGTGGGGTCTCAGCCCCTCTCGCACGCTGACCTTATGGCCTCCCTCCACCCCTGCCCAGATGCTCCTCCAACCACAGAAGCCACTTGTCTGCCAGCCCCACAGAGCCACATCTGTCCCCTCTAGGGATGCAGTCCTGGCCTCTGACGCCAGCACAGGGCAAGGCGCTCTCTCACCTCCACAGGTCAGGCAGGGCCAGGTGGTCTCCCCCCTGCCCCCACCCCAGGCAGGGAGCTCTGGCCGGATACCGCAAGGAAAGTATTAGTGGGCCAAGGTGAGACGAAACAGGCATGTTGGTCTGTAGCGTGCGGTGAATTCGGGGAAGGGGAGGTGGGGCCAGAAGAAAGGGCACAAGGCCAGCCCCACCCTGGCATTCTCCCTCCAGAGCACCGTCTCCTTCCCCTCAAGGACAGCCGCTGAGGGTCCTGGTGCCTGAGCGTGTGAGAGGAGGCTTGCTTGGAGGCAGACCCTGGGGCAACACTCAGGGCTTGGGGTGGAGGGAAGGTACCAGAAGTGGGTGGAGGTCACAGAAACAACTATCCAGGGAAGACCTCTGGAGTCCGGGGGTCCGAGAGAGCACCGCTGGATGCCCCCCACCCCATGGCCCAAACTCCAGCCTGTACTTTGCTGAATCAAAATACATCTTACTCCAAAGCAGGCCAGCGTTGCCATGACAACCGAGCTAATTCATGGAGGGATTTCTCTGTCTGATTTATTACGCCCGCCCCTGTGAGTCAGAGAGCCCAGATACGGGGCCCAGGGCAGGTGTCTCTCCCAGAAAGCAGACCATGCAGGGACAAATGCGAAGATCCAGGTACAAGTCCCCACACCTTCCCTGGACGGCCCAATCTGATGCCCCGGCTTCCCCTGAAGCCCGTCTGGGGCTGCCTAAGGAGACAGTCACAGCACTTCCCGAGCACGTATGAAGTACCTGTTCTTCGTGCGTGCTCTTCTGTGAGGCAGGGACCAAAACCACCCCCATCCTACAGATGAGGAGACTGAGGACTGGAGAGCCCGAGTCCTCGGTTCCCAAGGTCGCGTGACCACTAGGTGGAAACCTTTACCTTGCCTTCCCTCCCTTTCAATCCCTCCTTTCAATCCCTCCACCTGCTTTCAAGGCTCGGCTAAGGCTGCCTCGGCCTAGAAGCCCTCCCCTTCTGAGCCCTGAGGCCGTGAAGCTGACCCCAACTAGCAGACCATCCCCGGGCCTGGAGAGCACAAGACAGAGCCAGCC